TTAGGAAAAACCAAAAGGATTCCGAAAGAGGCTATGTAACGTTGATGTCGTGGTTTGCGAATCGAAGTTTGCAGCAGCAAATCGACACTGATTGAAAGTGGCGAGATTTCCTCTAAACGTTAGGTCCCGTCACTCACAGTAATTAAAGTAGTAGTGGGTGGTTGAAATTATCCACCTCTGAGAATTTTGTCACATATCTATTATTTTACGTGTCTGAATGTTGCCAAATGGAACTCAGGAGGTATGGTTGAGGTCTACAAGTCTCAACCATACCTCCCAAGTTCAATAACCATACCTCTTGATGGTTGAAATCGTACCTACACTGGCTGTCATAAACACTGACTTTGCTCTTCATATCTCGGTGGTTCATATACATATTTCAACATCATTGGCGTACCTCTTTATTACTGTAGTTTTTATAACCAGCTGGCAACAGAACTAATAAAAAAGGTTCAAGGAATACAATAGCATGCCAAATCTCAGTGCTTCCTACTACATTTTCCATCGTAGTACTCTTCGAGGTGAACATTGATTGCTGTTAGATGAGAGAACCAGTCAAAATATTGATACATGGGATCAGCTGGTAGATCATTCAGAGATAATAATCAAACTGTGCTGTTCTTCCATGTTGTTCCTCCACTGCCAAGGTAAATCTGAAGAGGAAACTGTCGGTAGATCACTTTCAACGGATGCACAGCTTCAAGATTCTCGGGCGCTATCGCAAGATACGGGGTGTTCTTTAGCACTAACCAGGAAGGCATTCAACTTCCCATGGAACTTTGAATGAGACCCAGATATATCGATAGAGCTTCAAACGCTGATTACAAATATGGAAACTAAAACTGCAAAATGAACCTGCCAAGGAAGTTGTGAGCAGTCAAAGTTGGCTGGAAGTAAAGCATTACACTAGCCTCCGGGCTTTCAGAGTCGTGGCGAGTAGTGGTAGTGCTCTCGCTCCACAGCGTCGTGCATTCTCTTTGGTCTTTGGAAAGGTCGTGCATTCTCTTTCCGATGGAGTGCAATTTCGAGAGCACTACCACTACTCCATGGCGACTTTGAATGCCCGGAGGTACCAGATTCATATGTAACGCTTTACTTCCAGCCAACTTTGACTGCTCACAACTTACTTGGCAGAGTTCATTTTGCAGTTTTAGTTTTCATATTTGTAATCATTGTTCCAAACAAGGGGCTAGGATGGAAATGGAAGTTACTCACGTCCCCTGCAGGTTCTTTTTCTCTCATCTCTTGCCGCCACCTAGACCACTAGATCGTACGTGCACCTGCGGCCACTCGCGAAGCCGAATCCTCAAAGAATCCGCGATCGCATCCTCTTGCGCCTAAGAAAATGATTTGACGGTATTTCAAATGTGCTGCCGCCAATGCCCCTATCTGCGCACAGCTGCCAATTTTAGCTTAGACCTCTGTTTATACCACAAGCAAACGCCCTCCCTTCTATGTTTACTATATACCTACTATTTGTCAAACGTCGCAGAAATCGATGCTAAAAAATCACCTGGGACGGAAGCATTCCTGATTGTCGGATAAAGCATCTATGGAGTTGTTTTCTGGATAAGTCGGTTGCTGCCTTCGGAAACTCGGTCGGCACTGAAGCCAACCAGTGTTAGCCTGGTTCTCCTTCTAGTAAGCTTCTGGCTGAAGTTCCATGTAAACGGGGTTATCTGAAGTGTTATAGTTCTTCGTAACCAACTCCTTTATTGATCATCAGTGCAATCCCATGCACCATACCATAATTTCAAGTGACTAAATAGGCAGGGAAGAAGAAAATGTTATCATATTCCTCTCCGTTGATTTTCCATTTCATATTAATAAACCTACCAATGAGCCTAAAAGTGAAGAAGCGCTCCCGATTAGTGTCGAAAAATGATCTTGTCTGATCGCGTTGCGCCGTTATTGCTCGCTGTCGAAGCCGTGGTACCTGAGGATCTTGTGTACATATTTAGTTGATCCACTTGCTCACGCCTTAACAACAAATCTTTTCGGGGTCATTCCAACAAGGGGGAGTTGCTTGGATGCAATGGGTGTCCCCCAAGAGGCCCATCGCGCGGCGAAGGAAGAGACGCAGACGCGGCAAAGGACGAGTCGCAGCGCATACTGTAGCGGTTAGGCGTCAGGTTAAATAGAGTGTACCATACTACGTCTCATATCGCACAGCACGCGCTGCGACTCGTCCTTTGCCGCGTCTGCGTCTCTTCCTTCGCCGCGCGATGGGCCTCTTGGGGACACCCGGATGCAATACTTACAAGGGGGTGTTCAGGGCAAGCCGCGCTTTTTCGAAACGGTTTCTTGCATATTGTAGGGACGCATGTATGGACCACAAAACCATGTTTCGTTTTCGCTGAACGGTTTTAGTAGTACCAAAAAAAGGTGAATGATACTCTTGATGGTTCAATCCCCGCGGCGACTAAATTTTGCAATCAAGGTTGGCGGCCACTTGTTGGCTTCAAAATGGTCCTGACGATGAATTTGACATCTGATTTTGATATTTAGCGCGATTTGGCACCAAACCGTAGGCGCCAACCCAAATGCAAAATTTAGTCGCCACGGGGATCGAACCTTAACAGTACCTTATGCTTCTTTTTTGGTACTGCTAAAACCGTTCAGCGAAAATGAAACATGGTTTTGTGTTCCCTACATGCGTCCCTACAATATGCAGAAACCGTTTTGAAAAAGCGCGGCTTGCCCTGAAACCCCCCCCTTGTTAGTGCCGTCTACAGTAATCACAATTTTCACAGGAAGAAAGCCTCGGCCTGAGTGCACAAATTGACTTGTGTAAAAAGTAAGCCAAGTAAGTGTAGTGCTTCCTAAAACCTTCGCAGAAAAGATGGCTCTGGCGGAGGTATTTTCGGAGTGATGGGTTCTTTCATCGAAATCCCTCCCCCTTGTACTTTCATTAGAATAGACCTCTGTGGATTAGATTTTTTGTATCTTATCAGGATGACTAATAAGGGCAATAAGCAAGGGTATGAGGTTCTGGACGATGTGAGG